CATTTATAATCTTTAAAATAGTTGATACAAAACTTTCTTACCTGGTTGATAATTATAAAGTAATATTTTTGGGGGAAAAGTTGCAATCCGAGCCTAGCTGTCTTGCATTGATATTTACCACAACCTTACCTACTGCATTACGCTGAGAGTTGGTTAATTCAACTTAATTAATTTATATAGCTAGCCTGTTTGAAAATAATAAACACAATATGATAGCTGTTTTACACCTGGATAGTGGAATTGACCACTTCGTCATTAATTATCATACTAAACGCACAGTTCTTGTGCGCAACTGAAACATATTGCGTTGATACGTAAAATGTTTATGTTTCACGTGCGCACGTAATAGTCGCATTCGCATGTATTAACTAAGATAGTTCCTATGTTATTTTATGCAATTGTCACATATGATACGTATATTTTATTATCTGAATTTGATTTCATACTATCAGATTAATTCTATAGGCAAGGGAGGATATTTTGATTTATATTTCGTGAGAATTATCACTGACACACTGTAAGAGATTCTATTGTCAACTTACCTAGTTAAACAGTCTTAACAATAAAAAACTATTAATCAACACTATTGTATATTGAAGGTATCCATTCGTTGCTTAGATAGTTTTTGAAAAACAATTGAAATTGAAACAAACAATAATTCAAATTTGTTAAGATTAACGTAGTATAGATATTTTATATGATTATTGTTTTAAATGGAAGCTTAAAGTGAATGTTTCTAAAACTAAAATTATGATATTTAGAAAAGGTGGTACTATTCCTGGTAGCACGATATTTAATTATAATAATGATCCCATTGAAATTGTTAGTAAGTTTTGTTACTTAGGTGTGGTATTTACTACAGGAGGTTGGCTATTAACTGCTCAAAATACATTAGCTGGGCAAGCACAAAAAGCTATTTTTACTTTGAATAAATACTTACATAAGTTTACCTATATACCTCCAAAACATAAATTAGAATTGTTCGATAAGCTTGTATCCCCTATCTTGAACTATTGTTGTGAAGTTTGTTGTTTTTCAAATTATTTAGCTATCGAGAAAGTACATTTGCAATTTTGCAAAAAATTACTTGGTGTAAAGAAGTCTACACAGAACGATTTCATATACGGCGAGTTAGGCAGAGTATCTTTTAAAACTATACAAATGTTTAAGGCTATCAAAAATTGGTTACGAATTTTGCAAGCAAAACAAAACAAATATGTTTTTATTGTTTATAATTTTTTGAAGACGGATGTAGAATTGTGTCAAAATAAAAACAAACTGGTGTACATTATTAAAAGATTTACTATGTTCTCTTGGATGTGTTGATGCGTGGATTTTTCAAGGCGTTGGTGATACCGAAATGTTTCTTTCTGTTGTTCAACACAGATTAAGCGATCAATTTATACAGAACTGGAATGCAAGACTTAACCAATCAAGTAGGGCTCTTTTTTTATAACACAATTGCATCATTTAGATTTCAACCATATTTGGAATGCTTTAATATTCATAAATTTTGTCAATCATTTACTCGTTTAAGGGTATCATGTCACAGATTACACATTGAAGCCGGTCGATGGACCAAACCCACCAAAACACCTATTAGTGATAGAAAATGTATAACATGTAATAAGATAGAAGATGAATATCATTTTATTATTGAATGTGTAATGTACATTGATATTAGGAAAAAATATATTGCCAGAAAATATTGGATACGGCCTAGCATGTATAAATTTGTAGATCTTATGAACTCAGAAAATAAGAACATACTTAAAAACTTAGGAATATATATAAACAAAGCATTTATTATTAGAAATACTTTGCTATATGATTAACAATGCAAATTTGTCCAGTTGTAATGTTCATGTTAAAAAAAATACATAATATCCATATGATTTGTCTTGCACTTTCGTTTCGGCAAGACAGATATAATTATGGAGAAAATTAAAACGTTGTTGTACATAATTATATATAATATGTTTTCTATTGATATGAATGTCATGTTTATATGATAAGGTTAGCAATTAAGTCAGCTCGAAGGTCTCTTTGCAACTGAACATGAATAGTCAAATCACTTTTGACATTGGACTTTCGAAGTTTCAAAATCCAAAATGAATGATAAAGATTTGTTACAATTATTAAATCTGCAATTGATGCGAAGGGACTTTAATTTTTTAGGATGTGTGTATAAATATATGGCAATGCGTTTATGTATTAAAATTCAATTAATTTACAACAAATTTTGCGTAAATGGCTCATGTAATTTATGTTTTGTTTTTGTATGTATGTACATGTATATGTGTGTATGTATGTTTATATGTATATATAATAGATCTATACAATGGTTCAAAGATCAATTTTGATATGAAAATTATTATTAACTACCTAATTATTATGTAACTACTTAAGAATATTTTCGGCTGGTATTTACTTTATCAATCAAAATTGATCTTCTCCAAACTTTTTTTTTCTTTCATGATTGTTGATATTATGTATATATGTTTATGTCATACACTGTTCGTTATTGTGCATGATTTATGTCCGCATGGGCTTTTAAGCCTATTGGAATAAAATAAAATGTCTACTGTCTACTGTCTATCATTGTGCAAACACGGATCTACATCTGAGTAACAAATATCTGTACTTTGTAAGCCTTTTTTCAAACGAATTGACTCCTAATAACGATGCTAATATATATCGTAAAACGACCAAAAAGATTATGTCAGAACTTTTTCCCAATACAATGTTATTTTGTATTATTAACAAAAACATATAACTTATCATCCGTCATAGATTAATAATTTCATTTAAATCGTGTGTAAATGGTTGCTTTTAAATGACATCTTTATAATATTTTTGAAATTTGCGTTAGAAATGTATATATGTATACGCTTAAAAAGTGCTTGTGTATAGTCTTTTTGAAAGTTGTGATAATTATTTCATGGCACTATTTAAACAGGATTTTAAACTCTCTTTTTCAGATACACACATGCCGAAGAAGATTGTAATATCTGGAGATAACATTTCCTACGTCACGAAATAGACACCGTCACACTGGTCTACGTAACATTCCTATAGATGATTGATATATTTAAGTGCTTTTAAGAACTGTGTTTGAATGACGGATTTCTGTGAATACGGATTTTTAGTTTTAATGATTATTATTAAAACTTTCTGTAATAATCAATTTGTGCTATGAACTCCTTTTCCTAACATACATGTATGTGAATGTTAACACGAACAAATGATATGAATATCTTTAAAATATTCTATGGGTGTGATACAAGTGGCTCATAAAAATCATTGTTAAGATAAAAGGAATCGGACTTCAAGTTGGTATAGTTTGTTCTATATTTAAACGACATGCATTTCATAAAAGTTACGGCTTGAAAATATCGAAACATGTACATGTATAACTCGATCTCTAAAGAAAATATCGCAATGCGGATTTTCTCCACTGTGATACATATTTCATGACTCTGTATCGCATCACACCGGTATATCGCCGTTCCGTTACATTAATTTGTCCCTCTGGAATAAGGCTTGGACAATATATGACTGTTGTATCGAAGACATGTTAATTTTGTTTAATATATGTATACATATTGAATATATGTTTATGAAATAATAAATATTTAAGAGTGACTCGATTTAGTTTTTACATTATTACTTGAAATACTCCAATTGTGAAGGTAAAGTTCTTAAGCATATGACTTTACAGTTCCCATTCAAAATGTGTAATAAAACATGTTCTATTGTACAAATCTGCATTTCGGTCATGTATACGTGTCACTTATATGTAAATGCATGCTTTTGATATTATCTGTATCTTCTTTTATCAAGAAAAAACAGTTCTGTATTCCCTGTGGACAACTAAAAAATGCAATTCCGTATATCCCCTGTATATATTGATAATACGATTCCGTATATCCCCTGTATATGTAGAAAATACGATTCCGTATATCTTCTGTATATGTAGAAAATACGATTCCGTATATCATCTGTATATGTGGAAAATACGAGTCCGTGTATCCTCTGTATATGAAGAATATACGGTTCCGTATATCCTTTGTATACGTAGAAAATACGAGTCCGTATATCCTCTGTATATGTAGAAAATACGGTCCCGTATATCCTTGGTATATTTATAGTATACTAGGGATAACAACCTTAATATAGTCCGTATACGGGATTTTTTTCTCCGTATACTTCAAAAGTACGAACAAATATACGTACATGTATATGGGGCAAATACAGAATTCCGTATATGCCTGATGCATATACGGACTTTCCGTATACCCGGTGTTCCCTATACGGAATCGTATATTGGTCCGTATATTCGACGAATAAATCCCGTTCACGCCCGTATATGTCAAAAATACGGGACCGTATATTCCCGTATATCAGTATATTTTTCGCAGTGAATTTATTAGCATACAAATGGGTAACCTCATTGTGGCGAAATGGGAAGTACAATTTCTGTTTGCATGAGAAATTCCGCCTTCAGATCATCCGTACATCAACAAACATGACTATAAGTAGCAGTCCTAATTTAAAGGTATATTTCCGAATTGTTACGGATGTTTTTATACAAATTTAATCTTTTTACGAGATGATTACTTTCACTTAATCCGGGCTTAGTGCACCGTGAAGCTTAAACGGTTAAAGTGTGTTTGCACAAGAAAATATCATTCCGGATAACAACTATAAAACCGTGACGTAGCGCATACATGAGCTGTTTATATTCTTCATTTGCATGTTAAAATTTGTATACGAACTTAAGTGTTACCGTGGGGTTTTCCGTTTTAAATACAAATTTATTAACAATATTTGATAATATTTACAACAATACTGTTAAACAGGTTAATGAAAATGTAGAATGTTTGATTTTTAGTCCGACGGCAAAATGTTTTTACATCTTTATTTAATGTAGCTTTAAGCAATGTTATTTAAATTTGTGCTTATAATTTTCAAAGAGTTATAATTCATGAAAGAAGAGTAGGACCACATTTCTGGATAAAAGTCACTCTGCTGTTCACTAGTCTCTTATTTAAAAAAAATTGCAGAGCAAATAAAAGGAGACATTATGACAGCTCAACAGATTCAGACTCGGATAGAGACTTTGGCTCTGCAATGGAAGTTGGAGAGATTTGGGGACCCGTAAGGAAAAAAAATGTTTTGAGTAAGTAACTAACAGTATTTAGATTTATAAATAACTGCTGCAGTAAAAAAGGTTATCACCCTAGTATGAGCAAAATTATCGCCCTTGACTTGGCCAAAAAATGGGCATTTTCAGCTAGTGTCATGCATTGCTAAAAAAACTAGATGACCTAGTCATGTTAATTTGTGCTCCTGTGGTTTTGTTTATGATTTCACCTAGTAAAAGCAGAGTTATGGCCCTTCACTTAGGTTTAATCATTGGGTTTACTTAATTGTTTATATAGGAGTGAGCTTGGTTTGACCATGTGTCAGTCAGCTCTAGCCATTTTAAGATACATATTGAAGATGTAAAAATTAAAATAACTTCATAATAAAATTAGAAATTTCTTAGATGAAAGAATGCCACAGAAGGAAAACGAAGCAACAAAAAGAAGTCCCAAGAAAACACATAGATCAGTTGTTGAACAAACACCGCAGGCAGATAAACAAACACCCAAGAAAAGCCCCCAGAAAACACATAGATCTGTTGTTGAACAGAACCAGAATGACGAGTAAGTTTGAAACATTCAACATGTCTCTTGTTTTAACCTAAAACCCTAGTCCAACTAAGTTACATCTGAAGATTTGAAAAAACATGTTATCGTTAAAAAGCTCTTTAAATGGGACTTTTTTTAAACACCAAAAAAAAGCTTAGTAAATTATGTAGCCCAAAAATGAAGAAGGTAAGAACAATGTGTAATTTTGACAGCAGAACTTAAATGTAAAGTATATATCGTTGAAATTGCCTTATGATACCCCCATTTAGATAGGAGTGAGTTTGGTAGGTCAGTCTGTTGGCTTTTAGGATGTCCAGGTGATAACTCATGAAAGGTTGATGGATTTGATTAATATTTGGTATAGATCTACAAGAATAACATTATAACATACAGGTCAATTTGTTATTTTACCTTGAATGTCACCTAACCCTGACCTTTAGCAATGATTTAAGAAAACAAGAGGACCAAGTGGCCCCGGGTCGCCTGAGATGCCATTGAGGTACCATCATGGTTCTATAAGAACAAGTTTAACAATTCAAAATGACATTTATGTACAAGAACATTTGGTCAAATGAAATTTGAAGAACCTAGTTTGTGTCCTTAGTTATGGCAATCATGGCCCTCTTGGTTTTTTAAGGCTGTCTTAAGTAAGCATTGACAGTTTGAGTGTTTCAAACATTAGATTCCTGCAGGAGGGTGGTTTTGATCCCATCCGTTGTGTTGTCAAGCATGAGTATTAGCCGAGATCATCTTCCTGTAAAGCAGGTTGTTAGGTATTTGCATACTTGCATCCGGTACTGGTAAACCGCTTAAATTGTCTAAGCTTGCCCAGGAAACGTGTGTGAACTGACCGCCGCGATATGTCTGAACTTTGTTAAAAGCAGGGTAAAACATATTTAGAAAATATTGCTTTGCGTAGTATCTCAAAAAATATAATTTATATTATATATTTTAGATATGTAACAATGTTGCAGATTGAGAGCATTCTGGATGGATACTTCAGAAAATCTGAATTTAGAAGGTTTAAGAAAAAGGTAGAAACTGTTAGTGCAAACGAGGAAGAGACAACAAATCTTGAAACCCTTATAAAAACCAAAGCAACGTGTATGATGCAGTGAAGATGGGACTTACTTCTTTATTCACGGATGAGGAAATTGATGACCATAGTGCTGCGAGCAAAAGGGCTAATATGAACACACCACCAAAACCAAAATTTGATGTCGCTAAATTTTCAATGATGGAGAAATTGGTGCAAAAGCATTTTCAGGTTTCACACAATGACATAGTCATGAAGACTAAAGCAGTCAAGAGGAAAATTTGCAAAAAACTTCAAAACAAATAATTTTTAAGACTCCGTTGAGCACTGTTTATCACTGTTTTTAATTAGCTCACCTGAGAATGTTATTATTAAAGTGATGATGCTACTTATCTTGCCTATTAGTTTAAAGTGATGCTACTCTACTTGAAGTTTATCTGAGTATATTAAGGCTCAAGGAGAGCTTTTAGGGTCAGTGGGTTGTACAGTTTTACTTATTTTTCTAAAAATAATTCCGAAATGGCCTGCAGTTATTATTTTGGTCATGTTGACAGTGGTTCAGAACAAGGACAAACATGACTGAACATGTTCCAATCATGTAGCAAAAACATGTTTTAAATATGTTCAAACATGTTCTTTATGTTGAAAACATGTTCTAAGATAATGGACAAAAATGTTAGAATATGTCTGGACACGTTCTGATAATGAAACAGAAACATGATTTAAATATTTTCAAACATCGTTACTGTTACGGCTAATTCATGATCACATTTTGATCATGTTTGACGATGGTGCCATTTCACGCACATGTTTGAACATGTTTGAATATATTCATAACATGGTTAAAACACAGTCAGACATGCTCTAATAATATTTTCAAACCTGTTTGAAACATATCTGAACATGTTCTGACCATGTTTATTTCCCCAGAGTATTTAGATGATTAAAAAATGGTCAAACTATCACCATCATAAGACAGTAGTTTGTAATGCATGATGTGACATCAGCTTGGCTTTGTTGACATAATCATGTGACCCAATTATCTTAATGTATCAACAGATTGTGCAAAATAATTATCTTGCACCTTTATTTGCATCTAGTGTCCAACTTTATTTGTCATCCAATGGAAACGCTGTATTTCTTCAAAAAAATGAGTGTTAATTTTCATAGAAGAACAAAAGTCGATACTATATCTAATTATTTTCATAGTGGCCTTCTATTTTTCATAGTGCTTCATAGAATCGCGTTTGTAAAAATAGTCATTTGCATAAATTTGCACATGCGCTTTCGTGGGCCGCTTTTGAATATTAATTAAGTAAAATTGACGTCAAAAGGTCAACCTACATTATTTTTGCATTTATGCATTTATTGATAAAGGATATACATTCAGTTCAGATTTAAATCGACATTTTGGCGAAAATGATACTGCATGTGTTAAAGTAAAAACAATACAAAATGTCAATAAAGTAAAGAGTACGTATTTACAAAATTAAATTGGCCAGGCGCTTCGCAGCAATAAATGCGTACTAATAAATTTTAACCGGCTTAGTGTTTTAAATTATTTTTATAAACAGTTGACTTACTAGACTGATTAACAGTTTGTCGATTTGCCGAAGTAAATGTGTTACGATTCATTTAACATACTGCAATCCCTTTGGACAAAAAATAATTTCAAACACTTATATTGTTTATTACGAATGTAGAAAAAAGGTTTTAATTAATTTGTAACTAAGAGGAAAGTCACGTGTGTCTATTCACTTATTTTTTGGTAGACAGAAAGTGAAAGTTAACATTATGTAAAATATATTACGTGACCTCTTGTTAACACGTAACAATTAGTGTTTACATGTATAAATCATATCAGTTATTAGCTTCTGAGTATCAGTTGTCTACTCATCTAAGTGTATATATCATATCAGGTAACAATTATCCAAGTCATCAAAATGTTTTTCGAAAATAAATGTTTCAATATTGAGCAAATGGAAGCTCGCATCACCCACATGCCGTCCTTTATATTTCCCAACTGAAACACAAGGGGTACATGCGTCTTCGCATGCAAAGTGACGTAAATCATGCATATTTATAAACCCAACATTCAAGTTATTGATTAATAAAAGCAGACTGGTAGTGACGTATTAAAGTGAATATTAATGAGGCCAAATACAGTTTGACACTAAATATATTAGTATTCATCCGAAGCTGTTCTACAGAAATTAGAAACATTCTCCGGTCGCTTTCGCTCCTGTCGAAGTTTCTTATTTCTGTAGAACAGCACGGATGAACACTAACATATACATAATGGCTTAAAAGCGGATATGGGAACGCTGAAGTATTTTTCGAATTCAGAGCTGAATATAATTTATATTGACTTCTTTTCATTTTCATTTGTCAGAATATCTTTTGTTAACATACTTGTACTTTTGATTCACCTAGCATGAACACATGAAGACGTTTTAAGAGGCTAAACCATCAGTCGGTCCTAGTATAAGTTTATGAAAATCATGTTCTTGATAGTATCATGGAGAAATATGCTCCAAAACTATTTTATAATTGTTACGCATACCAAGCATTATATAATATCATTATTCAGGATTATTAAAAGTCATGTAAATGCTAAAATATAGTGGATATCGACTTTTTTGCAGCATTGACACCATGCATTCATCAGGAATTCGTAAAATGATAAATGGCAGCCACAAAAAACCAAACAGCAAAGTTGAAGTTGAAGATAAAGAGCATTTACAGCATCAGACCAATACTGAGAGATGAAAAAATGTGCTTTGACTACCAAGATCCTTCGGCCCCTTGGAGAAAGGTGTGTATTAACAAATTTGACATGTGATGAAGACATGAAATATTCTAGCGAAATACAGATAATTCCCTTGAAATACTGGTGTTGATATTGTTTGTTCTGGGAAATAATCTTAATATCAATTCAACAAGTTTAAGAGAATTTATAGTTTGGGCGATCCATTACTATGGCGGCGATTTTGAATGAAGTATATGACTTGCAGAACCATCACACAATTTTATATTTTAAAGTTAGTTGAATAATTATATTCTGTGTGTGTTCACACTTAAAACATACATTTCATAACAAAAGCAAAAATGAAGGCAACTAGCCATATATTGTTATACCTATCACTTCATTATATCTTTCGTACTGTATGCATGTGCAAGTACTAATGAAGTAGGCTGTAACAGGCCAGCAGACTGTCTGTTCGAAAGAAAAGGTGAAAATATTTTTTTTCACATAATTTGTCAAGCAAACAGGTGTAATTATTATGGCAATTTTGCTGTTAGGACCATAACCACTACCTGCTGGAGCTAAGACTCAGATGCATAGACTAATTTAAACACATATAGTTGCTTCTGGCAATAAATTGACATCAGGGATAGATATTGGCAGCAGTTCTGATGCATGAATGAAACTCCTCATCCAAAAGGGCTTACATATAATGGACTTTCATTTACAGAATGTGTATATGTGTCACGGTGCATTACAGTTTAAGTTGCATGTATCAGAAACAGTGTGTTAGTTTTTTCTCTTCTAATATCATTGGGTGCAAGTCCTAACATTGATGGTTTATATTGTAAATCAGAAATTGCCTCAGTGAAAACAAATGCAGAGCAAGTAACATATGTAAAAGTCATTTTAGCAAGTAAATTGCACTATTATTGTCTGAAGTATATTCATCTTTATTTTAAGAGCGGTATAAAATTCAAGGGGTAGTGGAGCACAAAGGTCAAGGATGGCTAAGGGTGATCTTCTACAATTCTAAAATTGATATTTACAGGAGGCAGTGAATTCTTGGATAGGTAAATTTATTCATTTTGTTGAAATACAAGCTCTGTTCCTCTTAACTTCAAATTTTAGATGCTTGATCTGTTCGTTTCTGATAATGTAGTTGTGGCTCTTGCTCAAAGAAGTTGCAATACAACATACTCTTGGTTTCAAAGTTACATTAACAATGAAAACAAAGATAGATGTTTGTGACATAATGTCATGCATGCCTATGCCCATTCAAACAAAATGTACAAAATGTTGTGATGACAGCTCTTAACACATTCTACAAGTATTGGTTTGAAAAGCCTTGTATGATCACAAGTTGACAACTGTAAATTTGGTTTTTCTTATACCATACAGAGGATCTATCTTTAAAATTAGACCAACAGATAAGACATTTTAGCTCGACTATACAAAGTATAATAATTATGGAGAGCTGTCCTCCTCGCCCCGGCGTCCACGTCTAGATTTCAGATTAATTTTGGTGCAGTAAAATATTTTTCACTATTTTTTTTCATTTCTTAAGGTATTAACTTCAAACTTCAAATATATGTTTCTCATAATCAACCACATCTTATGTGACAAGATTCATAACTCTAGCACCAATATTTTTAGATTTATCTCCCCTTGAACTTAGAATTTTCCTTATAAATATTTTTACTGTAACTTCTTTATTTCTTAAGGTCTTAACTTCATACTTCAAATGTATGTTCCTTATTATTAACCACATCTTATGTGACAAGGTTCATAACTCTAGCACCAATATTTTTAGATCAATCTCCCTTTGAACTTAGAATTCTCCTTTAAATTTTTTTTTTTCTTAAGGAATCAACTTCATGCTTCAAATGTATGTTCCTTATCATTAACCACATCTTATGTAACAAGGTCCATAACTCGAGTACCAATATTGAAAGAATTATCTCCCCATTTACTTAGATATTTTACTTGAAAAATGTTAATTTTTACTATAACTTCTTTATTTTCATTCTGGAAACAGTTAGTTAATAATTATCTATTACACAAACATTTCTATATCCAACGTTTTGAGGGGTTAAACCCTTCTTTTTCAAGGTCAATTTCTATTTATTTTACAAATCACATATTTATAACTTCTTTAATTTAAAAGTTATCTACCTCAAACTTCAAATACATATTCCTTAACATCAACCACACCTTGTGACAAGGTTCATAACTCTTGTAGCAATATTTTCAGATTTATCTCCCTTTGAACTTAGAATTTTCTTATGAAATATAATATCTTCTTTACTTTTGAATTAAGGTATCTACTTCAAACTTCAAATATATATTTATTATCAATACACACATGTTATGTGACAAGGTCCATGACTCTAGTGTGACTATTTCAAGAATTATTTCCCCTTAAACTTGGAACTCTGTTTACAACTATAACTTCCTAAGAAGAAATATGTTTATATCATAACTGATTTTTCTTTTATAGTTTTTTTCTTCCTTACTGCGCCCAGTACTTAATTAGTCAAGCTTCGCTGTCTCCTGAGACAGCTCTTGTTATAAGTGAGGACTTACAGTGGGTTCGTAAAATTATTAAAATTTTATATTGTTTTGCTGTATCTAGCTATAACTTTGCAATTAATCCTTCATGTATATCAAACACAAATTGACCTTGACTTATTTATGACCTTGACCTTGAAGGTCATATTACTTATTTTTCATTGATTGTCTATAATTGTCTGTTATGCATGGTAATTAATCAATGAATTATTTTCATATTTGAAAAAATTACCTTTTGGACAAGACCTTTTGTTACTTGTCAATTAATGTATGGATTATTGTTTGATAAAACAACACTATGGAAGGTTGAACTGACCTTGACATTGAGCTTAAAATGACCTTGATCATCAAGGTCAAAACATTTTGGTTAAGTTGTCATAATTTTGTTATATTTGTACAGCTTT